TCTGGAATCCGCAGCCCTCAGGCCGCGTGGTCACTCCATGATGCTGCGCCTCTCGCTTAGCTCCCGGCTCCGGGCTTCGCGCTCCGAAACCAATTTGTTGCGGCCCCGTCGGCAGCCGCTAGTTTCCGGAGGCGTTGGGGTCGCCCTGCCCTGCAGCTCGGCTGTTGGAGGTCAGCCGGCCCTCTCCACCTTGGACGGTAGGCGTATTCGGGGCAGTCGCTCTTGCGGTCGCGCGGTGGGCCCAATGCTCGACGGGGATCGATCCCCGGGGCCTGCTGTCGGCGAGAGGTGGCGGCGCAGCGAGGTGGTGGTTCGCTGGCTCGCGGGAGGCCAAAGAGTGGGCCAGAACGGTTACACAATTCACAGCATGCGCGCGCACAAATCCGCATGCGCGATGCCCGATCGTGGGTCCATCGTTGTCACATCAAGACAAGACAAGTTAGGTGCACGTCCAGGCACATCGTCACCGTCCACCGTTCACCTACGATCGACCTAATGTCCTCTAATTCCAAGCATCGAACACCCGACCCCCTGGCCCTAAGTACTACAACTTCAGGAGGCCATATCTTCGCCGTTTCTTAACGGAATCGGGCGTTTAAAAGCTCGTTGGAACCAAGAAGCTTTTAATAACACTCACAAAAGGTTGATTTAGCTAATTACATAATTTCCACTTCAGAAAACCTCAATAACTGCCTGACCCCAAGTAACCACGTCACAGTTGTCCGTTCGCTCCTGCATGTAACCGTTACCGTGGGAACCCGCCTCATGCCTCCGTGCCAACGATCAAGGGCGTGCCCAACCGGGCACAACATACGGCGTCAGTCTGGCGATGGTCCGGCAACGTGGCTAATGTACGGGGGGCGGTCAGAGAACCCCCTTTTGTCAAATGCACCCCGGCAGAGGAACCCCTTTTGTCACAAAGGACCCCCTCTTTTCAAGATATCTCACAAAGGACCCCCTTTTGTCATTTTCCCTTGATTTATACATGACTCACCCAGTAAAACGGTGATCATTATGCAGTTGCGCAAACAGAAAGCAAAATAAACAAACAAAACAAGAGCGCAAAAAGTCAAAAACAAAAATTCTTTTAAAAAAGAAGCGGAAAAGCCGACATAGTAAGAAAAGCAAAAAGCGAAAAAAGAGAAGCAAAAAGGGAAAAGCAAAAGGCCTGCGTGTCACTGCCAAGCCGCTTTTTCTCCTTGTGCGACCCACCGCCGAAGGCGACCTCCCCAGGGCGTGGGCCCCCGCAAGCGCGCCCGCGCCGGCCACCATGCGACCCCTCCCCTCCGGACATGGTCCGGCATCCCTCCGGCGGCTCCCTTCCCCCTCCCCCCTCCCGCCCTTCGCGATCAGTGCCCTTCCAGCCCCGCCCGGCCGCCGCAACCACCCGGCCCAAACTCAAATCCCTGATCGCTGCGCGATCCGCGCCGGCCCGGGCACCCGTCACAATCAAAGGGCCGGAGATGCGATCCAATTTTTTGCGGGCGGGATGCGCCAGCAGGGAGTCGGGCGCCGGCGGGGCCGCAGGCCGCTGGGTGATCCGGCGAGGGGCGGCGGGGGCGGCGGGCTGGGGTCGGGCGGGGAAGGGGACGCGGAGCCGGTGGACACATGGCAGAAGGGCCTGCTGGTGGGCATCGCCGCGTCCTACGTCACGCTGGTCGTGCTGCTGCCCTTCGCCAACGTCTTCCTATCGGCTTTCGCGAAGGTGAGTTGGCAAAGGATCCCCCATCGTCAATGCCCTCCCCTTCTTTCGTTGTGTGCGCATTCATAATTAGTATTGGAGACTCTATATCATCTTTTCACAGCATGGAAAAGCGTCTCGCATACACTTGCTTAGCTAGTGGTGCGCTTTGGATGACCTGTTTTCTTTATCTGTTTGTAACAATTCTTTTCTCCCCCAATTTTGGAACATGTTGTTGTGTGTTTATCATGTCCTGTGTTCACCATTTGGGATGGTGGTTGTGCACGGCTTGGCGGTCGTCATCGCCTCCCAAGGTGTAGAGGCCGTGTTTGGCAGTTTTGGAAATTTGTAGTGCAGGGAGTTCGGCCACATGCGATGAGGAGACACCTGACTGTGTTGGGCATCGCTCAAGGGACCTGCTTGAGCTTTGCTCTTATTGAGGGGCGTCTCCCCGCACTGCTGAACGTTCTCACTCACAAATCATGCCTTTTACTTGAAATGGGACAAGGATGGTGCCCATCGCAGTTCAAACCCCGCCTTCTTCCCTCCGCAACTATTGATTGGCAGTAGAACGAACAACGAACTCGAAAGCTTGACAGATGTTATCTTGGTCCCCTCCCAGGGCGTGGGCCCCTTCGTGGAGAACGTGCTTGACCCAGACTTCCTGCACGCCATGAAGATGACCCTCATCTTGGCGGCAATCTGCGTCCCTCTCAACACACTCTTTGGCGTCGTGGCCGCCGTCAAGATCGCGCGTAACGACTTCTTTGGCAAGTCCTTCCTGATCAGCCTGCTGGACCTGCCGTTCAGCATCTCCCCCGTGGTGGTGGGCCTGATGCTGGTGCTGTTGTACGGCCGCGAGGGGCTCTTCGCGCCCATCTTGCGTGAGTATGGCTTCACGGTGGTGTTTGCCTTCCCGGGGATGGTCCTGGCCACGTTGTTTGTGACGCTGCCCTTCGTGGCAAGGGAACTTATCCCCCTGCTGGAGGGGCTGGACCCCGCGGAGGAAGAGGCTGCAAGGACGCTGGGGGCCAACGACTTGGAGGTGTTCTTTAACGTCACACTGCCCAACATCAAGTGGGGGCTGCTGTATGGTGTGATCTTGACCAACGCCCGGGCTGTTGGCGAGTTTGGCGCGATCTCAGTGATCTCAGGGAACATCATCGGCCAGACGCAGACCCTGACGCTGTTTGTGGAGAGCGCCTACAAGGAGTACAACACGGAGGGGGCGTACGCAGCATCAGTGTTGCTGTCCACCATCGCCCTACTCACTTTGGTGCTGAAGGGGTGGCTGGAGAGGATCGCCGCCAGGGAGCGGGGGGAGGCATGAGGAAAGCGGCTGCAGTGCGTGGGGAAGTTGTTGGGCGATGGGTGGCACAGGGCCACAGATTTTGAGGTTTAGTGCGGATGTGGCTACAGAGCTGCTCATAAGATGAGTGCGAAAATTCATTAGGGCAGAAAGGGAAGGGTACAGGGGAGGATGTCTGCACCATTGATGGCTGGCCATTGGTTGGTGGCAGAGAATTGGGAGTGGCTAATTGGGTTTAGAGCTGCAGACAACTGTCCACAGTGCAGTTGATACTCTGGGATAATTTTTAGGCCCTAGCAATTGTAGTCAATAGTTTTTTTTGTCAGGAGAGGGATTCATGACAGAGGACAGTTCACGTTGTCACTGTCTGTTTGCGCTTCCACTTTTAGAGGTTCCTTGGGAACCGGATCGCAGAATGGACGGTTGGCTGTGGGTGTTGCAGGAGGGGAATGTTACAAAGGCTTGGGTGTTGGAAGGGGCGAAAGGCAAGTGCAAGGCAAAACGCTTGATGCATTGAGCTCTGCTGTAACCAGTTGGAAAGCACCTCAAGTGCTACGAATTGATTGCTTTGGGAGTCTCATATCTCAGCTGTTGAAGGTCGAGGCTTCAGAATGTTGCATCGTTCCGAAAACACAGGATGGCTCCCTAAGTGTACTGATGCCCAGTGCAGCGGGTGTGAGCTGGACGATCTGCAAATTTCTACCTGGATTCCTATGGCAGGATGCAAAACATCAGCCAGGCATGGTTCTGCAATCCAATTTTTCGAATGCTGTGGCAGTCCATTTGTTTCTGCAATGTGGCACTTTTTTCTTGTCTGTGAAATTGCAGGCACAATCCCATTACAGCATTTGCCCTAGCTGCTGGGGGCATTCCACAGTGTTGTCCGAAACTCCCAATTTTCCAAATAACAGGACCGTCTCCGGATGAACAACAGACAGCTTCACTGCCATTAGCCCAAATTGGACTCAACTGCACAACCAGGGAGCCAGTGCACAGGTTGATTGGAGTACACCAACAGGTGCTGTCAGGGTTGCTCAAAGCAAAGACCTATAATTTGCATTATAATTTACATTATTGCTGCTTGGAAAACGTCCATATGTGAACAGGCAACCCCTCACTCTTTTTGCAAGCTGATGGTTTCACTTTGCTCCCATGGACTTGACTTGCAGGGACATTGGTAAACACTATTTTGGGTGCTGGGCAGGCCCTGGAATTGGTCAGCAGAGCATTTTTGCCCGAGCAGACTTGAGCACATTCACTCTGATGGAAGGTCTATGTCAGCCTGGCACATACTCACACAGCCTGTCTGCCTTCAAAGCCCTCCAGCTGTGCTGGCCCTGCCCAAGGGCCCATCACGACATCCGTCGAATTGCACATTTTGATCGCGTCATTTTACACTGAATTTGCTGCACACAACAGCCAACAGCAGGGCGCACCCAAAAACAAAGAAAAAGAGAACAAAGCTGCGGGCAAGAAGCTGTCAAGGGAGCTCTTTGCCACACAGTGCCTAAAGTAACAGTTCCCCTCTCCCCTCCACTCCCCCAACCACAGTCCTCACAGGGGATACATGCACGGCATCCCTTTTTCTCTGCATCAATTGGCCACAGTATGGCACAGAGTCCCATGCACGCTTGCCCAGCAGGAGGCGCCCTTCACACAACCTGTTTCTCCTTCTCTACCTAACGAATCTTCCCCTTTCACCCCTCCAAAACCTCCTTGCCATTTTTGTCACTTGTTTTGTGTGCTCATCTCCTCCCACCAGGACGCCCTGCACCATCTTTTCGCACCTTGGAAAAGAGTCTTACACACATGTGCCCAGGCGGGGCTGCCCAACGCACAACCCATCTCGACGAATCTGCACCATGCGATCAGCATCCGATCAGAATCTGCAACAATCTATCAGAATCCGATCAGAATCTGCAACAATTGATCAGAATCCGATCAGATTCGATGGATCAGAGTCCGATCAGAATCTGCAACAATCGATTCACTGAAATGTTGCAACACACCTCACCCCTCCGACCTCTCCCCATGCACCCACTCCCCCTCCTCCCAGCCCCTTCCCACCCCGCCGAACGGCGCCCCCAGACTCCTCAGGCCTCCGCCGCGAGCCAGCCGCGCCCAGCCCTCGCCGCTGATGCACGCCCCCCCCAGGCCCACCGCCGTCAGGCTGGCCATCCCCTCCAGCGAATCCAACACCCTATCCCCGACACCGGTTCCGCTCAAATCCAATGCGGCGAGGTCCGTGAGCCCCGTCAGGCCCTCGACAACCCAATCACCGATCACCGTGTCCCGAAGACTCAGCGACCGCAGCCGAGTCAGCCGCGACAGCTGCCGTTGGCCATCACCCCCCATCTCCGTGCCCGTCAGGTCGAGCCTCGTTAGCTGACTCATCCTGGAGAGGAACTCCATGCTGTCGTTGCCCAGCTGCGTGTGGGCCAACCCGAGGGCGGTCACGCGCAGTGCGCGCGAGAGGTAGCCCACCCCGCCGCTGCCGATCTGCAGGCCGCTCATCGCCAGCGATGTCAGGCTCGGCATGCGGCCCAGGTGGGCCATCCCCCCATTGCCGATGTTGGTGCCCGCGGCGGACATGGGGCCCGCCATGCGCGAAAACGGCACCGACCTGCGCAGGATCCAGGACACGGGGTCCGGCGGGCGCTGCCGCGGCGAGGAGTGGCTCAGCGTGAGCGCCGTGAGGGCAGTCAGGCGCGTCAGGTGCTCGACGTCATCGTTGCCCATCCGGCCGACCACCAGAGTCAGGGAGACCAGGCGTGAGAGCGGGGCGAGGTGGTGCAGGCCCAGGGATCCCCCCCGGGCGCAGCACAGCCGGAGATCGGTGAGCCTCGCCAGGCACGACAGGTGGCCCAGATCGTCGGCCTCGAGGCGCCGCGCGCTGAGCTCCATCCGCCGCAACCGCGGGAACTTGGAGTTCATGGACGCGAAGATCGGCCCCACGTCGCCGTCCGGGAGGGTGGCGTCTGTGAGGCGCAGGGACGTGACCAGGTCGTCAATCGTGTCGCGCCAGTGGCGGTTGACGAGACGCATGCGGCCCAGCGCGGCCATCGGCGAGGCCAGGCCGCCGACCATGACCAGGACGCCCATCGGCAGGGCGTCCCAGTTCGGCCGGGGGGAGACCTGGGGGCACGGGCACGGGATCAGCAATCGGGAGAGTCGAGCGAAAAAGTCTCATGGCGCAGAAGGGCCACAGATGCCCGATAACACTCATTTCCGGACGTGAAGTCGTGAAGGTCAGGAATATCATGGACTCAAGGAGTCAGGAAGTCAGGAAGGCCATTTTCGGGTACAGAGTGCCAGGGCGTTTTAAGAGAGTTTAGAGAGCTTAGGTTGTTAGGTCCCTGGTACCCTTCATGGCGTTCATGACCCCTCCATAACCTTCGTGTCCGGTAAAAATAGGTATCGGACAATCCCCAGAAGGGATTGGATGCAGTCAACAGACTAGACTGAGTGGTTTGCCACTGGGGAAGCTTGGAGGTGGGCAAAGGGTGTAGGTGGGTAAGCGCAGAGGCGGTGTTCACACCATCACACCACATTTGAGTCCAGCTGCCCACTATACTTTCCTGGCAGAATATTTGTGGGACTTGTGCCCCTCACAAGAATGTGCAGGGTGGTGTATGCCCAAAGATTGACTGAGGGGCCTTTCCATGGACATACATCCTTGCTGTTGCAGTTATACAATGTGCAATGACACTGAAGACCAACATATGGTGCAGATGGGTGTATGCGCCCTTGCAACTGCCGCTTTCGTTTTGTAAGGACGTTTACAGGTTTCCACCAAGCGCACTACTCGGTGATCCAGCACTCAAGGGGAGGGGCCACTGCATGACAAGCTTCATGTCAGATACAATAATCTCCTTGTTGTCTGCCAACAGGTGTCTTCAACAATCACCTTGCTTGAGAAAGCGCTAGTTGATCACCTTTGTGTACATTGTGCATGGCAGCGGCCAATTCCATTCTGTGAGTTCATATAACTTCTCTAGACACATGAAACTGTGCACAGCCACTTTCTCGCAAGTCCAGGACCAAGTTTCAAATGCTCGGTTCCCATAGTGTAAGATAAGAGCAGATGCCCACATCGGAAATGCTTATTGTATATGCACCTGCGTTGGTGACTACTGCGCTGGGACATCCAAGCACATTTCCATTCACTATGGTGCACTATCCACGTGGCCTTCAACGGGCAAGTTTGACATGCTGCTAGAGCAAAAATATAGGTTTCTATCACACTTGGTCATCGCAGGAAGGTTTCAATGGCCATTTTGAGACTTTCCAAAGAGTGGAAGAAGGTTCAGTTAACATGGCCAAACCTCCAACAATCATCCTCTTTACTTCTTGCACCATTCCCGGCCATGCCCACAACATTGTTGGCCCAAAAACACCTGTTAGAAAGAAGCGGCAACCATCAATCATCTCTCTTTGCCAACCAAAATCCCATGAGCTCACTATAAACTCTGAAACCTATTCGAATAGTCTCCTTGTGCATTTGTTAAGGCACGTTGCACTAACCAAGCTCAAGGCATTCAAACACAGGGAGATGGGTGCATTGAGCTCATCAGACAGCAAAATTATGGCCTGTAGCACAAATGGGAGAATGCGGAGTGGGCTCTGTTCATAGTTACAGTGTTCGATCGGGGCAGTTTGTGGGACGACCTTCAACGTCAACAGACCTACACAGTAAGCGACACTCGTTGGTTTTTAGCTCCCAGTCTCCTATGGGCAATCGGCATCTGAGCAGCCACAGCAAGGCGGCCTGACCGGCCTGCCTCAGCATCCCACCTTCTTGTCCTTATCCACCTCCTCATCACCCCCGCATCCGCTCAGCAAGCCGCCAATCAGATCGCCTTCACCGCCGGCCGGTCGCCACCTGCGCATCATTCACTCGGTTGCCGCAACCAAATCAAAACACAGGTTGGCCGATCGCGCGCCGAGAACCGCGCCTGTCTGCCCCACAGGGGGGCGGCGCTCATCGCGAACCAGCGATCAAAGCCCGACGTCACTGCGGCGCAAACAACGATCCCCACGAGGCGCTCCCAGCCCGTTCGATCCGCCGCCAGGCCCCACCGCGAATGGAGCGACCGAGCGATCCCCAGATTGCCACGCTAGGCCGCGAATTTTCGCTCCCGCCCGCCCGCCCCGGCCGAAACCCCCCTCCAGCGGCGGTCGTCACGCCTACCCCTCACATCAAATCCTCCAGCGCCTCCGCAAAACGCCTGCCCACCCAACCACCTTCCCTCCCCGCCACAATCCTTCCGCACACGCCACTCCTTCACCACCAAAAAGAAAAGAAAAGAAAGAAAGCCGCTCAGAAGAAAAAAGTGATCGCCCGGCAGCAAAACCCCCCCCCCCGGGCCCCAGTCTTGCGTTTCTCGCGCTGTGCGCTCATCATTTCGCATCGGAGATTCTACACCATCTTTCCACAGCATCGACCAGAGTCTCGCGTGCACCTGCTCAGTAGGGGGTGCCCTCTGCATGCCCTGTTTCCCTCCCCCTTTCCAACGAATCCCGCCCCCCACCCCCCGCCCACCTCCTCCCGGCGCCGGGGCACCCGCTCCAGCGGCGGCCCCAGCCGAAGCACGCGCATCCCGGCCGCCCAGCCCCCCGATCGGCATCCCCCTCGCGACGCCCGCCGGCTGGCGAGCCGCCCCGCTGGCCCTGCGATTCGACCCTGCCTCGCCTGCTGCGCCTGGACCACCGCATGCCGGGCGACACGGCGGCGGGGAAAGAATGACGTCGCTCCCGGGCGGCGGAGGCGGCCGCCGTGGCCGCTGCGGTGTTGGGCGGGTCGGCCCCAGAGTCGAAACGTCAGCGAACAACCACGCGGCGGTCGCCCCTCAAACAGGGCATCCAGGTGGCTGGAGCGTAATGGGATGGCATCGTGGCACACTTTTTTTTGAATTCCAATGTATTACGTCCGATCTAAGCAAGGAGCTGCCCCCCACAAATCGTAAAGCACAACGGGGTCCTTTTCCAGCATCGTTGCGCTTGCACGTGTGACTGGGTGAGAGGAAGGGAGGGTGTTGAAGTGCGGATGGTGGAGGGGATGCCTGACCGCGGATCGAATTGAGTGCCTATAAATGGGATGTCCCGCTGCCATACCAAACCACCTGGCCATGGATTAGGGTAGTCCAGCCCCTTGAGCACCCTTCCACCCTTACACAGGTTGTTGTTTGGCGGGCATCAAACTGGGAGAAGCGCAGACTGACAGCACCTTTACCGGTGGGTAATTTTGCCCCGGTGGTGCTATTCGGCCATCTGCATCGCACCGCATGTCAAAACACCATCATTAAGAGCATCTTTATTGACCGGCGCTGTTGCATCCCATCCGTTCATGATGTTCTTTTGACGTCCAGTCCTATTCGGATAGCCAAATAGCACCGCCGGGATAGTAGCGCCCAACGATAAGGATGCTAGAACGATTGGGGGAGCAATAGCACCCTGGGGACTCAGGTTGGGGTTATTAGTTCCCGAGTAGTGCCACCGGAGGCCAGATAGCCCTTTGCAAAAGGCAGCCGTCTGGTATGGCAGCCACCCAGCGAAAATGAACAAAGCCCCAAGCCTTCGCCTGTCCCGCCTTCCGGGTCGATTGGATTTGCGTCCAAGGAGACGAATCTGGGGCCGAACAGCTCCCTCGCAAACACGTCGCCAGCGATTCCGCCTTGGAAAATCCGGCTCAAACTGGCCTCCGGGCCTTGCACATCCGGGCTCAAGCAGAAGTCCGGGCCTTGGGTGACAAACACGCGGGAAGCCCTTTGATTTTCACAGAATCCTTTGGAAGCCCGTGCACTCGAACGACGAGGTTGCAGTGGGTGCGCTCTGCCAAAAATCGAGCGCAGGTGACCTCAAACTCTTGGTTACGAAGCCGACCTGGTTGGGTTGTGCGCCACGGCCTGTGTGCACGGGTTGCACACGAGGAGAATGCCAACGGAGTTGCACAACTTCAAGAACTATGGTCCATCCGTTGAGCCCCTCAGACACTGGCATAGCATCCCGCAGCCCGCACACAGCATGGCAGCCACTCCTCAAGTAACCTAGCCATGTCAGAAAGGGCAGTACAATCAAATCCTATACAATTCCTTTCAGGGCACGTCCAAACATGGTAGTTCTCATTCTTTCTCATTCTCACTCTCCTTGCGCCTCATAAATGTACTCTTACTATTCATATCACATGCAAGCGTGCTTCCGCAAGCCTCACAGCATGCACTTATAATCCTCACACAACCCCCTTGCAACGCTCCGATGGCCATCACTTCATTCCTTCACCAACTCTCTAGCACACCCGCAGCAACACAATCGAATCTGTGCCGCGATCTGAAAGACTCGCAGGAATATTCGTTCACTCCTATGGCTCCGCTGCCCTTTTCACGCACTACAATATAGTGATCACAAACAACGCTGTGACGTCACGGCCACGCCACAAATTAGGCCAATAATATTTTTTGGTTAAATTAAAAGATTGATATACTAACCCAGCGCATCAGCTACAAAAGTCTAGCTCTCCATGACCAAATTTACAACCGGATTCCTGTTGTTTCCATTCGTGGCAGGTCGCATCCCTATTGGGCTGTCAAGCATCACAGAACCACATAAAACACATCTGCTTGAGGCAGAAGCATTGGAAAGAAATGATATCACACCTCGCCCTAGCCTGCGGCAAATAAATCGTGCATCTATCAGCCAGAAAATCCACATCACTTTTGGCATGTTCGTCCACTGCAATCCCCTAGAGGCCAGACGTGTTTCCAACAGCAGTCTTAATTTTTTTTCAATCAACTGGATTAGGGTACCATAATCGGTGGACCTACCTACCACCGGTGGTAGAGCTCTGGATCACTGATGGTTTCAGCGTCGGCTTAGTGCGGTGTCCACAAGCTTCGAGTTCCGTGATGACATTAATCAAGCTGATTGATCACGTATTCTTGAAGCTTGGCAGCGAAATCATAAATTGCGTAGATTATTTTGTATACATCATAGATTTGTTGCTACACGCGCCAACCCCTCTCTTGGGTTAGTTTTGGTTGACCATCTTTGATAAAAAGCTTTGGCCTTGGTTTGCAAAGCCTTCCCGTCTGGGAAGGCGTTTGGGACGTGCAATCTCAGTCCCACTGGACAAACGCGGTGGCTGCCCTGTCTGCCACCGTCGGTAACCCTATGGCAGTACATCATATGCCCCCGCGAAGCCTGTCGCCTGTCCCCTGAGACCGTTGCTGCGTTGCACCACCAGCAGCGCTAGTGCCTCTCGCCGTTTGTGCGTTCCACAAGCTGCAATCCCATCCAGCTTTCGAGGCCTCTACTCGGCCAGTGGGTCCATCGGCGAAGATTCGCCATGAGTCACAGCCATCGCCGGTCCCACCGATTCCCATCGGTGCTCGCAGCCCCTCGATCCCAATCGCAGGTGCAAGCCTGTCGACATGCATTGCAATGGCCGATCGGCGCAGATCCATCCTTCTAGCAGTGTTGCATTGTTGGAAATAGTTTCTGAGTGAAGGCACACCTTGGCAAGCGCGCGCATCCAAAAGTGTGTGACTAGTGCGTCACGGCACTTCCTAGGATGTAGGACCTTTCGTGACATCGGTATCGTATCCCGTATCTTGGCGAAATCAGGTGCGCAACGAGATACCCATACATCTCGCCGTATTTTCGTCTCCGTATTCTCATTTTATGCTAGAATTCACCTGTTTGGAGGAGACTAAGCCCTTTTTCACTTTTGTGGATTTTCGCCACTTAATGGTCACTTTTTGAGGCTCGCAGTTTGGGAGCTTGCAGCAATTTCATATCACATATTGGCGACCTGAACACCTCCACAATAACACCTTAAGCTATTTGAATAGAGTATTGTTGTAGTGTCCCAACGCTGTTCGGCATAGCAGCAAGACCTAAGGTTATGGATGTGCAAGGGAGCAATAGCACCAATGCTATTCGGCAGACGCCGTGCTAGCAAGGTGGCACCACAGCTAATGGGAACCGTTCCTATAGCACCGCCAGTGCAACAGGAACCCCCGATAAAGATGTTCTAATAATACTCTGCGTGGCGCTGATACAATAGCTAGCGCATCAACGCCACTCAGAACATCTTTATCTAAATTATAAGCTCAGTGATGTGCACGAAGGCGCGGCCAAGAGGCGAGAAAGATTTGCGCAAAGATACTCGCTACACCTAGAGTTAGGGTTTAGTTCTAACCCCTGGGACACGCCTCTAGGGGTGCTATGGAAAAACCCAACGCCTGAAGTCCGCAGAGAAGGCAAACAAGTAGGCCAAAAAGAAGGAAATGAAAATACCTCCTAAGATGCAATGCATCATTCAGAATGGAGCTATGATGGATATAGGCATGGCCGTTGGCCTAGAGGCATAGCTGAGGAATAGAGAGATCATATATAGGTATGGCCCTTCATAGTCATGCCACTAGCTGCCAAACATAGGTAGACACTACCACATCAATGTCGACCAACGTCGGTCGAAATGTTTTGGCTAGCCAATCCTCCTTGCCAATAGTGCCCCGACCATGGGTCTGAATCCCTTCCCAACTTTGCAATAGTTTTTTGTTGATAGGGCAAGTGCTTGATAGTGCGTCACCATCAAAGCCCACTCATTTTCGTTTTCATCGTTTCACCCAGCCGTTTGTGATGTCTCTATCGTTTGGTGCAATTTTTTAATTTAATAAATTTTGCAAAGGAGAAATTACTCTTTCTTATGACAATGTTCCTTTTTGGCGATGGTACCCATGACGTGCTTCTTTTGTGATAGTGTCGGTGGACCAGAAAATGATAGTGGAGGCTAAGTAGCTCCAGATTTCAGTTTGTTGTTGAAGGGTGAAAGAAATCCTTTTATATTGGTGATTTCTTTTGTGTGCTCACTTGGGGTAAGGCACACTTTGTTATTCTGAGTGCTTTTTTTGCATTTTGGATGACATCCGAATACTATTTGGGCCAACACTGGGCCCGTCGGTGGGAGTGGTTTATGAGTCAAGTATAGTGGGACAATTATATTTTCATTATGGGGTTCTTGCAGTTTTCGCACAAGAACCACAAACATGCGGGGCTGCAAAAGCCTACGTGAACTTCCTTCCATTAGCTCATAGCCCCTTCCACTTCTGCACCTCAACCAAACACCCAACGGCCGCCTGGGGCAGATTGATGCTGGCTGTGATACAAGAGTCTCATTTTACAATCAAATACATTAAATACATCAAATGTCATCTAAAATAACCACATTGTATCAGGTAGTGCCCTTCAGGTGGCCGGTAGTATATTGAGAATACTATACATTGTAGCCTATGTATTACACATTTGATTATAAGATGATTCGTATGGTATAAGTGTGTTTGAAAGCACACTATGTAAGTATCTCTTTTGGCTCTCCTAGAGTGTCGCCGTCCCTCCCACTCAACCCTTGCATGGTCCATGCTAGGGCTTGGATCAAGTGGTTTCGGAGCTTGGTTACTATAGCATGCGCCAGTGTGGACCAGCAGCTGGTGCTTGTGGATGCGGAAGACACTGCGGTGGCACCGGCGGTGGAGAAACCAGGGATCGCTGGTGAGCGCGGAGCGTGGAATGGGCATGAGCAACTGGGTGGAGTAAATGCATGATGCTACATGCCCACACGCTTGCGGCGAGGTAGGGCAACATGATGAACGTTGCCAACATTAGCCATGGAATCAACGCAGAAAGTTTGGACCCGTGGCACAACTTGATGGAGCATC